ACCAGGCAATGGCTGGGAAGACATAGGTAAGAGTTAATGGAGAAGGGGCCAGGGAGATGGCTCAGTGGAATAAGCACTTCTCTGGCAAGTGCAAGGGCCTGAGTTCAATCGCAGGTTCCGCAAAGAAAAAAAAAAAAAAAGAGTTAATGGAGAGGTTAAGCCTTTGTACTTAAGAGGATGGGACTCAGAAAAAGAATTCCTGTTAATAGGCAATCCTCACTGAGTATTTCCTAGAACAAAAGTCTAGGAGTTGCAGTATTAACTCTTTTCATCTTCCTTTCCATCTGCAGAAGCCTAAAGGACAGGCAGTCTGACTTCACCAAAACAAAGACGCACATCCAGTCAAGAGAGCAGTAGGTGAGAGGCTCCTGGCTCTGGGAACCTCCAAGAAAGCACAAGAGGTATCAGTTCCAACCATGCACCAAGGCATGCACCAAGGCATCTCAAAAGACAGGAGGGTGAAGTGAGTGGTGCTAGAAAAGAAACAGTTAATGCTGGGTGGAAGGTGGGCCTCTGAAAGGACAAGGGTCTCCACCATTCCTCTAAAGTCCAGGAAAGGAGCAAGAAACAAGGTAAAGGAAAAAGCAAGAAACACAGGGGAACTTGGGAGACAGCCCTGATTTCTGGATAGGTTGGGGGTAAGATGGGGGAATGGTCTTAAGGCTAGAGATAAAATGCAAATACCACCAAGCGATGGCTAAACTCTACTTAACTGAGAAACCATACACAGGGCTCAGCTCAGTTGAGCCAACATTAATACAAGGCTAGGGTTTTGTTCCATGTGTACAGCAGCTGGCTGAGTCTGGGTGAAGCTGCAACTAGGATAATTAACAGCAGGTTCCAAACTGGGTATGGAAGGAGATGCCAACTGGAGCTGATATACTAGAAACGCTGAAATGTGCATTTACCATGAAGGGGGCACATCCCCTTGGGCTGGGGAGGAAGACCTGGCTTCTAGAAAGGCTCTTCTTGGCCCAATTCCCACCTTACCACGTCCACTCCAGCTCCAGACACCCTCCTGCCAAGTGTCCTCTGTGTATTTCCAACTGGACTCCGCAGACTCTTCAATGTCACACAGGTCCAAGGCTGAACTCATCTTCCCCCTCCTCCTCCTCTGTGATCCCAGTTTGAGCTCATGGCAACCTCATGAACTGCCCAGCTGCCCATGTCATAAACCAGAGTCACCCTCAACTCTGCTTCCACCCCTAACCCCAACCTAAAAAGCTGGACTAACACAACCTACCTGCAGAAACACCTTTCCAAATTCTCTTCTCTATCCTGTCCATTCTGTCTGCTACTACCTTAATCAGGCCTTCAGCACCTCCATCTCCTTCCTGCTGGCCAACCTCTTGCCTTAGAGTGACTGCCTAGCATGTGTGAGGCCCTGGGACAAAAATAAAATAAAAACCTCCCTAAAAAAAAAAAAAAAAAAAAAAAATCCAGTTTTCTGATGCACACGTTGGCCCTTCCGAATGTGACCCTATGAGTAAGATCCAGTAAAGTGTAAGGAAATAGCTTGGCTCACATTTTGAAGCCAGGACAGGCAGCATCTGGAAATCATTGCTCCATTAACAAGAGTGAACTTCAGGCTTTCGTCCCCTGGCAACACCCACCTCAGGTGCTGGAGGGCTGTCACTTCCTCCTGCTTCCCAGGACTTGCCCTGTCACCACGCACTCTCCGCTGGGCCTTGCCCAGCACTGTTCGGACGAACTAAGGTTTCTTTCAACTTTAAGGAGCTCTCCCTGCACAGACAGCCCTGGCCAAGTACAACTCACTGGCCTGCACTTTGTCACTGATTCACTTCAAAGTGCCTCCCAAGCCCACAGCCCCAGCTTTCCATCCCTCTCGGCCCTCAGCCGGCCCTTTCTCTGCTCCTCAGCTGTTTCCCCAGCTCTGCTTCTCTCCCTTTAAATGTTAAGATGTCTGCAGGTCCTGTCCCGGATTTTTGTCACCTTCCACTGCCCTCTGACAATTTCACAGTACACTCAGAAATTGCTCACTTCAGCTATAAATGACTGTCCCTAACTCTTTCCCTCCAGCTTTGCTCCCATGCTCTAACCTTCACAGAAGCCTTCTCCCCATTGCTATGCCCGACAAGCTCTTACTCAACCCTCAAAACTCAGCTGAAGTCTCACCTGTGGTGGGAAGTCTTCTTTAACATTGTGCCTATCAGCCCACCTCCTGCAATGAACCTACCACACTGAGCACGCTTGTTCATTTTTTAATTTTTTCCTCTGATGCTGAGTTCCCTGCAAACTACACCCAGGCTGCATTAACCATGCAATTAATGCTGTTTGAATGCACCTTTGTTTGAGTGTGTCTCTATATTGTGAAGTGGATAAGTAATATGTATGCTTAATAATAAATGCAGTATAATAAACGATGCATGTATTACTCAACACAGAGTTGAGGAACAGCACTCGTCTACAAGTAGGTGTCTAAGCTAAGTCATCAACACTATTTCTATGTGATCTTACCTAGTCATACCACATGGGGGGGGGGGGCGCGACAGCAAAGCAGTTTCAAATGAATGGCCACAAATGCCCTTGCCCTGATTTACTGCTCTGGCCTCACAAGTTTTCTTTAGCACCTTGAAAACACCCTGCTGCTTCACACTATTTGGTTCCACTTGAACGTCACCTTCTCAGACCTCTCCCACGCAGTGCATTATAGCAGTGGCCAGCCCCTCCAACCTCAGTTACATCTCCTAACGTGTCACTGTGGAAGCACTTATATTCTCTGCAAACCTACGTGACGCTGGCCTCCTTTACCCTGTTCATCACTTTAACACCCTCATGTCCTCTTACTCAACAGACACCTCTCGATGAAACACAGAAAGTAAGCAAGCAAGTTCAACAGGAAAACGTCATTATGTACTAGTCAGAGTCTGGGGGAGATGCAGGTAGAGGAAAGGGAGGGATTTCTTTCTCAAAGGTTACTCTCCACTCTTGGATGCTGGTTAACCAGATGTATTCTTCTTCAGGATACTTATTTAGGAGCAGAATTTTTACTTAACAAAGGGCCACACAGCTTTTTATGGAAACGAAATTGCTTCCCTCTAGGTAGGTAGCTTTGTCAGATAAAAATTTTAAAGCACAATGATGACTAACTTGCACATTTGCTAAATAACCAGTCCTGGGAAAACTGTGCCCAAACTCCACAGTAAACACCATGAACTCTAGGACAACAACTTGTTCATCATTGTAGCCAGCCTTGTTAGCATGGGCCTATAATTACAGCAGTGAGGAGGTTGAAGCAGGAGGGTCATTATGAGTTCAAGCCCAGCCTGGACTACACAGTGTAAGACCCTGTTTCAAAAAACAAAGACTTGTTGCCTGTTGTGCTGCCCACACTTAGCACAGTTCATTCACAGCCTATCCCCCAAATGTTTATTAATGAGCACATAAAACACAGTGATAAGAGGAAGAGCCACTCTTCCAACTTTTACACTGGATACACTCACTTTAGAGAAAGATCAAGAAAGCTGAGGAAGATCCTCTGAGCCAGGCCCCTCTCAAGGCAGAAGTTTGGCTCCTAAAAGTCACCTAGTTGTGTCACAGGTAAGAGTCACCCTGTTTAAAATTTAAAGACTCCTTGCCCACATAATTTCACAGTTCATATGGTCCAGCAACTAACAGCAGATTTCTCTTGCCTTCTTAAATTTTTGTATGTATTTTGGTTAGCCATGATAACTCAAAATGCTAAATAAAGAACAACTAAAACTGAAGAATCCTACTGTTAATGTTATATCCACCAGTGTCTCATGATCTTGAGAAAACCACACCACCTTCTTGAACTGTCAGCTTCATCAACATCAATAGTCATGATGTTCTTCATCCAAACGGGAGTTTGGAAAAGATTAATTTGCTTGTTGTTGTAAGGTCTCTGGGGTGAATGCATGAATGATTCCCTAAAGGCCTTCGCACTGTGAAATTATGAAAGAGGTCATCATAACTATTAAAGTTACTTCAAAACCTAAGGGGCTGAAAAGCAAGGAAGACTTTACAATTGTGCCCGTGGTTCTGACAGTACCCTTTAGAGTAAGACAAACTCTCAGAAAAGATTTGTGACATTCACAATAAAACTTGGAAACTATAAATGCCAGGCGTTCTTGTACTGGGCAACATCAACTGCACATGTAGAGATAGGAAGTAGTAAGTGATAAGCAACGGCAAATCTGTAGCTATTTAAACTGCTCACTGCTGGAGGGACTGCTTAATGTCAGGGCTGTTGGTCAAAACACTGTCCAGTTTATGGAAAGTCAATTAAATACAAGGTCATGAGCAAAAGTTGTTCGTAAGGCTGTATATATTCCTGGCCCTCAGGCTGCCGACCACGATGACACTCCAGTAAAAAGAAGCACATCCAGTCAGAAATGCACCCTCTTGCCAAATGACTTCCTAACTTCTTTCCACTTTGAAGCACTTTGATCAGTGTTTGCTTGTCTAAAAACTCTCTGGGGAGACTGGAGAAGAATACATCTAAGTAAAACTGAGAGTTAGCTCCTGAAATAGAAGGTGAAATTTGGATGTGGGGGAAGGGTCGCTTCGGTCCCACTGTAGCCTCAATGAATGGGGACTGTGACAGGGCACGGGGCAGGCTTCCAGCACGACTCCTCTGGGACGGCCTTTTTTTCCAGCCTGGCACCCGTGCCGCCAAGGGCATGAGCCGGGGCTGAGAGAGCGGCAGGGCGCCGGCCCGACCGCACCTGCCCAGCCCACCTGCAGCAGCACGGGGGCTGCTGAGTGAGTGTCGCAGCAGAGGCGCCCAGGCTGCGGCCGAGCCGGCAGGGGGACCCTCTGCCCAACGCCCCTCCAGGCTGAGGCGGGGCAGGGCCCCGGGCCCCAAGGGCAGCAACTACCAAGGTTGGAGCGCCGGGTTGGGAGGCACGGCCCCCAACATCCAACAAACCCGAGGGTCCCGCTGTCCCCAGCCTCATCCGAGAGGTACCCAGGGTGGCAGGCAGGAAGCAGCCAGGATGGCGGGGGCCCGTACTCACAAAGCCCACTGGAGCCGGTGCTGGTGAACATGATCCCGCTGGGCCCGAAGCCCCCCTCAGGGGCCAGGGGGAGGGGAAGCGGAGGTGGAGGGCGCCGGCGATCGATCGCGCAGGCGCACTCCCGGCCGGCCGGCGAAACTGGCGCGGCGGAGCCGCTCTAGGGTCGCCGGGCACAGCGCGCATGCGCGCCCGGTGAGCGCACGCGTTGGGCCGGCGCCCGCCCTTCCTGCTGTAGAAGGGAAGTGCGTCCTCTGCGGAGGGCCCGCCCCTCCGACTTCTTACGGCGCAGGCTGCTGTTTGGAAGGAAAAGAAATAGTGCGGGGTGGGAGGGAGCGTGGCTCCAGTCGAAAGCGCAAGAGCGCCCAGCCCCGCTCTCGCAACCCCTAACCTCTCCCTGGCTCAGGATCCCGACCGGCGTCCAGCTCCGTCCAGCAGGGCGCTCGGATGCCCGGGCCGACCGCGCTTCCTGTCGACGGGATTGGGTTTACTAGCTGCGCCCTGTGTCCCACGTCTTTTTTTCCTTGGCGGAACCGGGGGTTGAACTCAGGCCCTTGTGCTTGCCAGGGAAGCGCTTACTCCACTGAGCCATCTCCCGGCCCTGTCCCACGTCTTAAGAGAATGAAATTAGTTTTTGCTAATATAGCTTTTGCAAAAGCTATTTTGAGCCTAGAAATTTTATGTAATAGTGGTTTAAGACGTTTTGAAAGAGTACATATGGGGAAATCGCAGGGCTAAATGAAAAGGACAAGTTGCAAAACTATGTACAGCATGCTATAAAATATTTGAGAGCTTATAAAAGCCAGCCAACGTGCTAAATCTGAGGTTTGTAAATCAGTAAAACATAACCTGCCTTAGAGAAAGATTCCAGTGAGTCAAAATGTTCTCACTGATTATTTCTAGAAGGCAGCAGTATGGGTGATTTTTATTCCCTTTAGGCGCAATACGTGTTTTTTTTTCTCATGTTCTCTTGTAGTAACAGTTGACTTTTTTAGGTTCATGCACTTAAGTTATTTTGAAAAAAAAAAAAGTCTACAAGTCTGTTGTGTTGAAGACACCTCTGGTCCCCACACCTACAGCCAACAGAAGACAGTGGTTCTTGGGTGTGGCTCAGGACTCAGGACTCACAGGGGCTCCAAAGGACCAAAATCGCTTTCCTAGTAATGGTAATGCATTTTTCTTTTCCACTGTTAGCGAGTATGTAGTGGAGTTTTCCACCCTACATTTGGAAAAACTGTGAACCAGTATTTTCCAGTTGACCTGTGCCTAATATTATGAAATCACGAAAAAACTATTTAAACTGCAAGATAAAGCAGTAAAGTTTAGGATAGTGTACAAAACTTCATTGTTATGGTTCCTGATCACTCATTGCAAATATTTTTTAAGAAACTAGCACATAAACTATACTGTAATACCAAAAATGATGTCCCTGTCTTCTTAAAAGACCATCAAAATGTTTGCTTCTCCAACTCCAAATCTGCATAAGATGAGATTTTCTTTATATTTTTCCGATAAAAAAAAAAAAAAAAACAAAACACACACACACACACAAGAAACTAAAAGCAGAAGCAGAGTACCAGGAGATTTCTGCTAAGGTGGATATTAAAGACATTGGCCAAAATATGAAGAAATGCTCTTCACTATAATGTTTTGCTTAGGAAAGTACCATTGTCAAGTTGAATGTTCAAACATGTATACAATAAGACATTTTTCCTAGTTTATCTTAAGAGGTGAGCTCATGATTGTGAACACTTTGCAAAGAAAGTTGACAAAGACAGATTTAAAGAAACCTTGAAAATCAATGTTGTTCCTGGAATTTGTTTTGAATTTTAATTCAGTGGGTTTAAAGTCTTGTCGTTATAGAATAGCAAATTATAACAAGTTGTAGAAATCTAAATAATATTGGAGAAAAATGCTGACTTAGTAAGACTATTCATATAAGAAATGTAGATAATTATTTGGGGGGATGTTGACATATGTAAAAGGATCTGTGTTAAATCCAAAGTGGTAGATAATCAGCCATGAAATTTTTGTTGCAAGGCAATTGTCTCTGCATAACAGTGGGGCTTTGGAGAGTGAAACATTTGAGTGGAAAATTTATTTCCAAATATACAGCAGTGGACACTAAAGATTGTCAAAACTTGAAGCACTTAAAAAAATTATTCCACAGGAAAACTTTTTTTCCTTTTGGGTATCATTGTGCAACAGATCAAACTGTAGTTTCGAACAGCCAGTAACATCGTTTTATAAACAACTGAAAAGTAGCAAGAGACAGTGAGCAAATCATTGAATTAAAAACAATGGCTAGGGGCTGGTGAGATGGCTCAGTGGTCTAAAGCATCTACTTAGAACAAGCTTAGCAAAGCACAGGGACAGTGGTTCGATCCCCCAGCACCACATGCCAGCCAGCCCTGCCCCCTGGTGGGCTGAGCTGGCCACACACACACACACACACACACACACACACAATAAATAAATAAAAGCTTTAAATAAAAAAATAAAAATAAAAACAATGGCTACCTCAGTCATCCAGGATCTTGTAGGAAAAACCCGCAAATCAGTGAATGCTATCAGTGATGTTAGTAAGACTACTGTCTGTTGTAGTTAAGGCTTGCAAGGGAAACTATACAAGACAAATAATTTATAGGATTATTTTGTAATAGTCACCTGAAGAGTCAAATACAAAACAGTACAGAAAACCTGTGCACACAGTAGACACAAAGAATTAAAATGAGGACCAGAATCCCACATCAGCATCCTGCATGAATCCAGCTAAAGACCTAGAGCCTTAACAGTGCCCCCTATGAAGTCCATCTGGGGAGCCTTTGACAATGTCCCTTGCAAGTCTGCCAAGGATCTGCACTGGGAAGGCGGAAGGCCGTGGTAGAAGCTAGAAAGTCTGCACTAGTGAGTTGAAGGATCTGGGCCCAAAGGTTGAGGGATCTGCACTGGAGCCGGGAGGCAATGTTCTAAGTAAGGACCAGAGCTCCCACTAAGTGAACTGCAGCCATTCCCAGTGACAGCAAGGTTCTGAACTCCTCCAACGATGAGAATAGCCAAGTTTGTATCACAGAGCCAATATGACCGGCCCCTCCAGGAGAACCGACAGGACCACCTCTTCCTCCCCACTTCTCCTTTTATGCTGCCGGCAACAATCCTCAGGTGGACCTTCCACATCCAGCACCACGATGATTCAGTTCAGCTGGATATAACAAGTTGACCACCCGTTGTCAATCCTCCACACTATCAACGCCTTGAATAAAACATCATTTTGTAACTTTGTAATGACCATGAAAAGGAGTTTGTCTGTCTTGTCCTACATAGAAATAGGACCAAAGAAAATCGTTTTAAAATATTCTTGCACACTTCTCAGAGGAAGAAATACAAATGTTCCACAGTGCTGAGAAATGTGAATTAAAACAACATTGAGATATCATCTCACCCCAGAGAGAGTGGCTGTCATAACAGAAATCAACTGATAACAAATTCTGGAAACGCTGTGGGAAAAAAGGAACCCTTGTTCACTGTTGGTGGGAATGTAGATGGGAACGACCATTATGGAAATCAGTGTGGAGACTCCTCAAGAAACTAGGATTGGAAGTCCCATTCAACCAGCTATTCCCCTTATGGATATTTTTTCCAAAAGAACTGAAAACATCACATAACAGTGATATATGTACACTCATGTTTATAGCAGCACAATTTGTCATTGCCAAATTTTGTAAACAACCAAAATGCCCATCAATTGAGGAATGGATAAAAAAGAAGTATTTTTTATACAATAGAGAATTACTCAGCTCTAAAGAAAGAGAAACTTGAGGGCTTTGTAGGTAAATGGATACAACTAGAAGCTATACTCAGGTGAAATAAATCAGACCCACATGTGTAAATATCATAGTCTCCCTAGTGTAAGAATCTGAAAGAATAAATAAAATCTGAAAGGTATAATAAATATAGTAAAATGGAAAGAAACTGAACATAAGAAATAAGCAGTGAAGATGAGGGAAATGAGAAAAGATTTTTAAAAAGTAAGTAAGGATAGATTGTAATACTAATTTCCATCAGTTTTTTGAAATTAGCAGTTAATGTTTAAAATTTTCACTTTGACTAACACGATATGCTGATGTCTGTAATCTGAGCAACTACATTGAAGACAGCAATGTGCAATACAAAAACACAGTTGAATACCTCTCATCTTGTTCTTCTAAATATATACTGTTTCTAATATCTTATCAGATATTATTGTACTCTCTTTAAAATAAACTATGAAATAAAAAGGGCAAGAAAAAACATGATTCATGTATAATTGTATGTAGTGTGTGGTACTTTATAATAAACTACTATGCTGCTGGTTTATATTTTTACTGCAAAAAGATTATTAAAATATTTATTCTTTAGCACTCAACTTTTGTTTCAATACATGAGAAATTATGTACAGTATATATAGCACATATAAAACATTATAAAGTGCTTTGATTTGTATTTTATGTATGTATCAGAAATGCTAAATGAAATTATTAAACTGCAAGTGCAACTGGTATTAATAAAAGGAATGATTATACATTTTCAACAAACTTAATCATTTTAGGAGAAGTTTTCTTGTCCAGAATTTTCAGTTCTATTATCTTTAGTAAGTAAGACTAGTTCTAAGGATACTGAGCTGGAACCGTATTACTAAGTTGAATGCTGCCTTCAGAATGCATGATGCGGGGGCCGGGGAGATGGCTCAGTAGGATAAGCGCTTGACTGGCAAAATGCATGATGTTTAATTGAAAAATTGATATGGATTTATAATACTAGACTAGATGATTAATTCACTTGCACATTAAAGTCAGTGTTTGCAGGAAATTTGTAATTGAGCTTTTAAAAAACAGGTACAAAAGAATTACTACTTAATACAAAGAGTTGTATATATTAAGTAGCTAAGACTCGTTGGTCTTTTCAAATGGAACAACAGTATTTGTTACAGCAGTGTTAGCTCAACATTTCAATCCAGAGGGATTCAGTACAGTGGAATAAAGCACAGTGCCACAATTACTGGGAAAGTAACAGATGTAGCAGAATACTTGGCGTTCCTCTCAACAGAATTAGAACCCCATTAAATTTCATCAGTAAAATTAAAATTTTGGTGTTCTTGCCATCTGTCTCCGCCTGGGTTTCCTCACCAACCCTGA